AAGAGACTAATTGAATGTGTTTGGCGCTTTTCAGAACCTGTGGAATACGAATATGTGTTCTTTTGCAAATCTGAGCTCTGTGTCATAAGTGTTCTACCTGAATTGAGTCCTACCGCCAATTCTGAGCTAAAGCTTGGTCTAACACCAAAGGGAAAGCTCGGATTTGAAAATGTGTTTTGGGCTTTTGAGAACCTGGGAAACATTCAGCCAGAAAACCTAACTTCTGACACAGAGCTCAATTTGCAAGGAAACACATATTAATGTCGCCATGGGTCTGAAAGGCCCAAACCCCATTCAATGTTCAAATCCGAGCTTTCCCTGAGGAGTTAGACCAAGCTGCATCTCAGAATTACTAGTAAAAGTAAATTCAGCTATAAAAATTAATTCTGAGATAAAGCGTGGTCTAACACCGAAGGGAAAGCTCGGATTTTAAAATTGAATGTGTTTGGCGCTTTTCAGAAGCTCGAAGACATGATACCTGTAGGACTCAACTCAGCCAGAAAACTTACCTTCTGACACAGAGCTCAAATTTGCAAGGAAACAATGTTGCAAGGGGAACAATGTATTCATGTTCCCCTTGGTCTGAAAAGCCATAAGACATTCAATTTTGAAATCCGAACTTTCTCTGAGGAGTTAGACCAAGGTATATTTCAGAATTACCAGTAGGACAATTCAGCCAGAAAAGTTAACTTCTGACACAGAGCTCAGATTTGCAAAAGAACACATTCGTGTTCCACAGGTTCTGAAAAGCGCCAAACACATTCAATTTTCAAATCCGAGCTTTCCCTGAAGAGTTAGACCAAGATGTATCTCCGAATTACCAGTAGAGTCAATTCAGCCAGAAAATGTAACTTCTGACAGCCCAAAAATCCATTCTGATATAAAGCTTGGTAGTTCAGCCCAAAAATCCATTCTGATATAAAGCTTGGTCTAACACCAAAGGGAAAACTCAGTACATGAATATGTGTTTCTTTTGTAAATCTGACCTCTCAAAAGTAAAGATTTCTACCTGATTTCGGTCCTAACACCAATTCTGAGTCCCGGTAGACCGGGCCGTCTGCCAGTAGCGGACACCCCTGGGGCCTGTCGCGGGCACCGAGGTGACGGTGGAGGTCCCTGACCCAGGCCTGCGGCCCCCATGATTGGATCCTGTACATCCATCATGGCAGGGAAACAGAAAAAGAGACTCTAGTCTGGCCAAGGTCCCGGTTAAACCGGTCCCACCCGAGGCTGCCTGAACTTCCTGGTAGACCAGGTCGTCTGCCCGTTGTGGACCCATCGCAGACTCCTCCACAACCGAGGCCCGCGGCTCCCATGCTGAGATCCCATCCCGCAATCCCCGCCCGCGCCACCCCGGTCTCCCATCTCCACGCTCCGCTGCTGGGACCAAAGTGGAGACGTTACGCCATAGTCCACTCAGAAGGAACCCCTCTCACGCGGCCCACTCCGGTTGCGAGACGCGAAGGAAAAACGAGCGATAAGGGAGAAAGAGGGGGTCATCTGATGAACGTGAGGGGCAAGCAAGCGACAGACACTGATTTAAACACAGATTTAGACAATTACCAGTAGGACTCAATTCAGCCAAAAAATCAATTTGAGATAATGCTTGGTCTAACACTGAAGGGAAACATCAGATTTGAAAATTGAATATGTTCTGGGCTTTTCAGAACCTGGGAAACATGAATATGTGTGTTTCTTTTGCAAATCTGAATGTGTCAGAAGTTAAGTTTTCTGGCTGAATTGAGTCTTACTGGTAATTCTAGATACAGCTTGGTCTAACTCCACAGGGAACTCTCGGATTTGAAAATATAATGTGTTTTAGGCTTTTCAGACCCTGGGGAACATGAGTATATGTTTCTAATGGCCCCTGTGTGTCTTGGCTTCTGTTTTCCATGCTCTCATATTAATGTAAATCCTTGTCCCCTGGGCAAGGGGAAACCAGATCAGCGGTTCAGCTGTGTCGATCATCTCCAATTTCTTTAAATTTTCTAGTTTGAATAGAGTGTTATCTTGTTCTTTCCTTGGGAGAGCGCCAAAAGCATGAATGAGACCGGTTTCTGTGCTGTTAAGTACATCTTCGCTGGACAAGACTGGCTTACTCCCACTTTCTTCCTTTCTCTTTTCCAAAGTTGAGAATGCAGAAGAGACAGCAACTTTGGGAGCTTGCATGTTAGCATGTTAGCAATTAAGGGTTTAACCCTTTCCTCACAGAAAACGGGAGGATCACAGGAAAGATTTGAAAGGAGGCTAGATATGCCTTCAACATGTGGTATGGTCGGCTGTTTGAAAGATAGAAGTATCATCTTCCAATTTGGGGCCTCAGGAAGCTGCAGTACGGGGATCAATCTGCACCCAGTGACAGTGAAGAAGCTGGCTTAGGGAATCTAGTAAGGAATCTTGGTAATCCAGCGTCCATGATTAATTCTGTTCATATGGATTCTAAGCACAACCTGATGTGTTTATAGTGAGTGATGTGATTGCTGTAATTGTAGAGAAACTTCTCTATTAATAACCTCCTCCTCTTGATGCCTTATGTGGAGGACTGTTTTTCCGAGTGGGCTGACACTTTTTAGCAGGCTCTTTAACTGTTTCCCTGGGTCTTTGCTCTTTTTCCTCTTCCTTATATCCCAGTCTGCTGTACGGACTTTAGTGACTGTAGCTCGATGTTGTTCTTGCAGAAAAACAGCTATATCTTTTTTCAATGTCTCTGCATCATGTTGAATTAGTTGCTCAAATATTGAAATATTGTGCTGTAAGGCATTGCTTTGCAATAAACTCTGTTATATTCTCCCACGGTAAACTCTCCACACTCTGGATTAGTTTGTTGTTAAACTTTTTAGACTTTAGCTCGGTCTCCATACTGGCTGTAGCTGGATTTGTTTGTGAAAAAGCTGGCTGTCATTTTGCTCCCCTCCCCCCAGATCAGGAAAGTCTGTTTTGTCAAATCTCTTTGCTGGTCCTGTTCTAACCTCTCCAGATTGTTGGAAATGAAAGGGGGGTATTTTTACTTTACTTCTTGTCAGCAAAGTGCTCATCAATTTTGGTTGTTTTGCATTCTTCATTGGTGGGAGAGATCCTGGCCTGGTGCCATGGCACTTCTTTCCCCCCCCCCCCATGCCTTATTAGTCCTTATCAGCCAAAACTTTGTCTATGTTGTGGTCTACTCTATCGTCCCTGAAAAATATTATTTAAATAAATAGGCTCCAATGGGTATACTAAAAATTGACAAGATACAGCTCGTCTAACTCTAAAGGGAAAGTTCGGATTACCAGTGGTTCATCTTCTGGATCACTTCTGAATGTGTGATTCCTCCTGCTGAGGTGCCAGGGTTTCCTCCCAAAAGAGGGAGGGGGAATGGTAATTCTACGATCAGGGCAGTCTCCTTCTCATGCTGGCCAGGTTTTGCAAGTTCCCCACCCCCGGTGGGTGGTTCTGGGTGGATGTTTGTGAATGACACTCTGCACCTCTTTTCCACACTTGAAACAGGCTGAGGATTTCGGAGAAAATACCGTTGTCGCAGGGCCATCATGAAATGGTCAAAATCCTGCAGTTTTGGTGCATTGGTGTTATGCAGGGTCATCATCCTGTGGCACCCTCTAGGGCTAGGGTCACAACTCAAACTCAGGATCCTTGGGTTTGGAAATCATGCCCATACTCTTGCATGTAAGTGAACATGTGTGCCACAAAGAATCCTAATTGATCTCCATCAAACTTCACCCGAAGGGAGGGAGTTTCCAGTTGCGGGAATCAGGGCTGGTTGGGAATGGGCAACAGGCAATATGTTGCCTGGAGGGAAGGATTTGCTGGGTCCCACTGCTGCTATGCCATCTGCTCGACAGGCAGGCTCCAGAAGGGGTGTGCCTCCCTTGGCATCATCCGCGACTGCTGCCCTTTCAGCACTCTTTGGTTGTCGTCCTGGCTCCCCTCGGATGTTGAGATTTTCCAAAGTTTCCATGACCAATTGGACAATCCTCCCTCAGTGGTGCTTTGGTTAGTTTCCCCTGGTCAGCGAGGGCTTCTAGTTCCAGTTTCCACCCCGGTTTTCGGTTGCCGCGGCTGAGGGTGACTTGTCTGGTTCTCAAATCCCAGCTTTCTTCCCGATGCCAAGTGACTTTTCAGGATTCTCTTCTCTACACTCTCCTCTCTGATGGGGTGTACGAAACAGGCATCCAACTGGGTGTGGTTAATGTCTCCTCCCAGCATTTGGCTTCTCCCAGTTCTCTGCTCGTTCAGACATGGTTTGCAAGGTCTCCTCAGTAGAGCGAAGATTGCTTCTCTGGGTTGACCATTTTGCAGATGTTGCTTTCTGTAAGGATTGCCTCTCCTCCCAACTTAAGAAAGTAAAAACTCTTGAAATGTAGTATTTCAAAAGGACCCTTTTATTAAGCAGAAGTGATAGCAATGGATTCAAAGCAACGTCTGAATACCCTTAGGCAAAACAAGTAGGATTAAAGCAGTAGAGAGCCCTCCCTTAAGCAGTAGAGAGCCCTCCCTTAAGCCAGAATGCGGATTTTAGCCAATACACAAGCATGAAGATGTTTTCTTTACCTGAGAACCGGATAAGTATGTATTCACATTGTTTCTCCTTTATCCTTTAAAGTGAATCAGCACACATGGCTGTCATAAACATTCCTCAACACTAAGGGGGACTCAGGGCTCTTTGACGCCAGGATATAGGTTGTAAAATATCTGTTGACACAGGCAACCAAGTCTCCCCCTTCTCCCAATTGAATGGCAGTATCACTTTTAGGGATCTAAAAGTGTCCAACTTTTAGATCCCGTCCAACTCTGTTGTCCTATATTCTATAAGCACATATTTATTACTAGGTTAACAAGATATAATTTATTAGTTTGGTAAGGAGAATTTTAGTTTTTACTAAAAACCATTATTAAGCAACTAAAGAGAAAAGTCAAATAAAGTCAGCTTAATTAAATTGCCTTTGTGAAAGCATAAAGAAAACTTCAGAGTTGTTTAGAAAATCAAGAAGTAAATCATTAAGTAAAAGTTTAATAATATAGTTTTATTAATTAGTGAAACTATACATTCAAATTCAACTGTGAGAAAGTTGGGAAAGATGCAAGCATCGCTCAAGGTCTTTTTTTTTTGCTGAATAGTTTAAAGGATATATAAACAAACAAGAAAAAGGCAGAAAAAACTAATAAAATATATATGAAGAAAAATATTTACAAAAACATGAAAAGTAGAGTTTTACAGTACGTCATTAATTAAATATAAATAACTGAATATATTATATTGTTTTAAAGATAAAATCACTGTTAAACTGGAAACAAAGCATGATGTCAATAAAGATGAACAAAGTAGAATAATTCAATGAAACTATAAATTATAAACCCACATTACTAAAATCTAATATGATTTGAATAATACCCATTTTTTTGAGTAGTATGAGTGATTTCTCATTTGAGAACCACTCTAAGAGTGGTTTCTCATTTGAATTAAATTCTGTGTGAAATTTATTTTTAAAGCATGAAAGCATCAAAGTGTATTCCCACAACTTGATTTGACATTCTTCCACTTGAAGGGATCAATAATTCTTCCAGTAAAAAGCATATAATCCCTTGCAGCAGCTGATAGATTTGCATCTTCTCCTTTAATTAACAACAGCACTCAGACTACACTGCCCCACATGTCAGCATATTGTCCCCCAAAATCTGGATCATTTTATCGAAGGATGGAAGGCTGAGTCAACCTTGTTCCTGCCAAGATTGAATTCCAGGCTGTGGGCAGAGTTAGTCTGCAATACTGCATTCTAACCACTGCACCATCAGGGCTCAGTGAAATGTTGAAATCTTCCCTTGGTCAGCTTCTGCCTGCCTGGGTGGATAAAAAGGGCAAGCACAGGCCGCTAGCCAGTTTTGTGGTGACCATAAGGCAAACTGAGCACAGCCCAACTCTCTTGTCAACCACTCACAATTCTGACTGGAATTTCTCTGTTTGGTTCCACTTTCTGCCTGCAAAATGCTACATCTTTTATATTATCATGGTTTTAATCCAGATCTAACTATCTAAACATCGAAATGTTTAAAGTACATTTCAGACTAGGGCCTAGTCTGTCCACTTTCAGATTTAAGTGGCAAAATGGTTCATTTTGGGAATTTCTGTAAGAAGCCATCAACTAATTGCAGATCCTGCTGGATTGGATTTGCTGTCTTTTACCTCAATTGGAGCTTTGGAAAAAGCTACTACTTCTATTTTCTTACAAACAGGTTAGAAAATTGTCCAAGAACTCCATTTTGTGAATGCCTGGACTGCATTTTGAGTTTTCACTGGAGTAGACTATGTAAATCCTTCACTGCTTTCCTTATTGAAGTGAATAACTAATGTTATTCTTATCTTTGAAGTGAATTTGGGTGAACATGTCATTTCCATTTTTTTCCCTGTTAAAGTGATTGTCAAGGCTTGATTGCATTCTCTTGTGCTTTTACCCTTTTGGGTAAAATCTGTTCTGATGGCCCCTTGCTTATTTGTCTTTCACTTTGAAAGTTCAGTGTAAACACTTTTGATTGCGATATTTCTGTTTCATTGAATGGCTAAATCTTGGCCATTTCTTGTGTTTCAAGTTGGCAACATTGTCCTCTACTCTTTCATCTGAATTTTTTCCATGTGAAGTAATGTATTTTTGTGTTAGTTTCTATTTTTCAACATGATGATGTTACTACTATATGTAGCAGTTATTTGGGTCATTTGATTTTTTTAAAAATCAATTAGAAACAATGTCAGCATAACTAAGCACTATCAAAGAGATGAGTGGCATATAAATAAACTAAATGTGTCCTTTTATTGCCTTTTAAGAGAATTAGAAGATTGTGTAAAATCACTAATTTTGGGATTTTCCCTACTGCATTTTGCAGTCATTCTTGATGACTGGCCAATTCTTGTTTTTTACCTTCCTTAGGGCTCAAATGAAGATTACTTCAACAGTAGTTTTTATTTTTGGCTATCTCTCAAGTGGATTTGCATTGCTGCATATTCTCCAAGTTTAAGTTCCCAATCAAATATTGTCAATTTGTATCTTCGTACTGGGCAAAATTTATTCTCACTTGCATATATCTTATTAAATTATAATGTTGGTTGCTGGGAGGTGTGGCTCCCGCACTGCAAATTGGCCGGAAACAAGCCTCGGTAATTCGCCCAGCACAAGTGGACGGGGAGGAATGACGGAACAATGATGTTGGAGGAGGAGCACCAGTGAAGGATGAATGCCTGTGGTAGGTCAGCTGTGGTGGTGGGGCTGGGGTGAAATAGGAGGTGCATTGTGGCCATGGCCAATTACCTGCAAGATGCTGCCACCCTCATAAATGCAAGTTGGTACCAAGTGCCCAAATTGCAATCATATGTCTGTAAGGGTAGCACGAAAGTCATAATTTTAAGGACAGGTCATAAATAACTTTTTCTGAGGTTTGTTGTGGCTCCGTTACCTGAGCCTGTGTCATCGGCAGGAGAGGACTCCAAGTGTGAAAGAGAGGAGTTGGCAAGGTCTCCCTCTCCAGGACCCTTCTCTCTGGCAATGCCTTCGGTGTCCGCCGAAGAGCGGGGCCAAGCACGTCCATGCAGCCACAGATGGACAGTGATGAGGGTAATAAGTCTTGGCTGGACCCACACCAGCGTCGCAAAGATAAGCGCACGCAACAGAAGAAAGGGCGTGCCTGAGATTAGGCTGAGTCACTGGACCACACCCCATAAAAGAGAGCGTGGTGGCCAGTCAAACCTTGTGACGAACAAAGCTGAAAGCTTCCACGCCATTCTGCATTGCCGGACTTTTGCTATAGACTTTGCTAAAAGTATCTCTGGACTTGATTTAATTCCGTAATTATTGAACTGCTTTCCTTTGATGTATTAGAAGTGGGGAGAAGTTATCTCTCCTCTTTGTAAATAATAAACTTTTGACAGGCAGCCACTAGGTTGTTGCCAAGTTCCGTTATCATAAGGCAGTGTTTCCCAAACTTGGCTATTTTAAGATGCATGGACTTCAATTCCCAGAATTCCCCAGCCAGTATGCCTGGTTGAGGAATTCTGGGAGTTGAAGTCCATACATCTTCAAAGGGTCAAGTTTGGGAAACACTGTCATAAGGAAAAGGATTTTGCCGGCTGGTTTGGTCTTTAACTCCTGAATGTCTGTTGGTGTGTGTGCGTGGGGTTGGGGACAGAACAAGGTTGTCATAACTTTGAAGCATTGTTAAATGGTTGTCAAGGAGTACCTATAAAGAAGGACAGTCTTGACAAAGACTAATCAAGCTTTATTAGATGTAGAGGACCATGACAGCTGTGATAATTTCACTAAAGAACTAATGAGCAAGGAAGGATAGAACTTAGAAGGTTGGGTAACCATCCATCCTTAGAACAGGTCTCCTCAAATTTTTGAAAATGACAGACTCATTGTGAACATTTATATAAAATTACTGTCACAGTAGAAGACAAAATGGATATAAGTCTACATACCTATACATACCAGGTTTCTGAGATGTAAAAGAAATCAGACCAAGATAAATCATTTCAGAATTTTTTTTCATAATATAACATACTGTTTAACCTGCAGGTATGCAGTGGCTCAGTGGCTAAGATGCTGAGCTTGTCAATCGAAAGGTCGGCAGTTCAGTGGTTCGAATCCAATCGAAAGGTCGGCAGTTCAGTGGTTCGAAGCCGCGTTAATGGGGTGAGCTCCCGCTACTTGTCCCAGATTCTGTTCGAAAGCACGTAAAAAATGCAAGTAGAAAAAATAGGGACCACCTTTGGTGGGAAGGTAAGAGCATTCCGTGCGCCTTTGGCATTTAGTCATGCCGGCCACATGACACGGAGACGTCTTCGCTGGCTCTTCAGCTTTGAAACGGAGATGAGTACCGCCCCCTAGGGTCGGGAACGACTAGCACATATGTGTGAGGGGAACCTTTACCTTTACCTTATAAGCTGCAGAATTCAATTGAAAACCAAACTGAAATCTTTTATGGGAAAAAATATATTTATAAACTTACAATAATGGTTGCATAAATGTGCACACTCTTAAAACTAATACTTTATTAGTTTTATTAGCACAATATAGGCAGCATATGTCTTTGGCGTAGGAGCCTTTCAGCATGGCATATCTTGCCTTGGGAACCTTTGCCTACTCTTCTTTGCAGAAATGCTGCAAATCTGTCAGATTGTGAGAGCATTTTCTGTGCATAGCCCACTTTGCAGATTTTCGATTGGATCCAGGTCTGGACTCTGGCTGAGCCATTCCAAAACATTGATATTCTTCTGATGTTGATTCTTCTTTTGTTGATTTGGAGGTATGCTGAGTCATTGTCATGTTGAAAGATGAAATTCACCTTCATCTTCAGCATTTTTGTGTCATAATTCAATACTTGGAACTGTTAATAATTTCTTCCACCTTGACTAAAATTCTAGTTCAAGCTGAAGAAAAGTAATCCCAAAGCATAATGCTGCTACCACCACGCTTCACTTCACGTATATGTACTTTTGGTGATGCACAATTGTTTTTGCACCGAACATACTTTTTGGAATTATGACCAAAAAGTTCAACTTTGGTCTCATTAAGACCATAACACATTTTCCCACATGCTTTTGTCAGAGTTAATGTAGGTTTTTGCAAAAAGTAGCCAGGCATGGATGTTTTCTTTGTAAGAAAAGGCCTCTGTCTTGCTGCCCTACCCCAGACATATGAAGAATAAGGGAGATGTAAAACACAACTAGTATTTGCTAGAAAATCCTGCAGCACCTTTAATGTTGCTGTAGACCTTTTGGGCGAGTTATCTTGTATTTTCATCAATTTTGGAGGAGTCCCAGTTCTTCACTGTTGAGCTATTTTCTCTACTTGTCTTCACTGTGTTCTATTCCATAGTATATCCAATGCCTTGGAAATGGTTTTGTATCCTTCTCCTGACTGATATCTTCCAACATGGAAAACATCAACATCTTTGATGTTTCATAAGCTCTTTGCAGACCATGAGTTTTGCTGTAACAGGCAACTGAATGTCAGAAAAATCCTACTAGAAGAGATGAACTTTATATGGGATTGATTATTTTTTTCCCCTAAAAGATTTCAGTTTTTTTTTTAATTAAATTGTACAGCTTGTATTGAAGGTGAAAACAATTCTGAGGTTATTTAGCTTGGTCAGATTTATTTACATTTTAAAAATGTGGCATTTAAACAGGTTTTAACAGGACTTTTTATATCCACAGTATATTATCTCTCTTAGTGCACAGAGTGTTATCCCTTTGTTTGCCTTTTCTTTGGATGTTATTTCCAAAGAGAGACATCTCTTTTATTATTATTTAAGAATCCGTGTGGGACACATGTTGGACCTATAGAATTTGGCTACACTGAAGAAAGAAAGAGGGAATCTGATGGATACTAGATACTGTAGTCCTATAAGCAGGACTGAAGGGCTCTCAGTTCCACTGCAATAGACATTGCCTTTATATTTTTTGCTTCTGGGGGAGAAAGAGTCAGATTTCATTCTTAGTCTACTAAGGAATGACAAAAAACCTTCTGGGGGAGAAAGAGTCAGATTTCATTCTTAGTCTACTAAGGAATGACAAAAAACCATAAATATGAAATATAGACATATTTCAACTCAATGAACTTTGTAAGATGCAATTACACAATTATATTTTTAGGTCCAAAGAAAGTCTGTATTTTTTCTTTTTTTTTTCTATGACCAAGGAGCATGTATGACAGTAGGACTATGTCCATCTAGAGATCTAGTTTGGTGTAGTGACTAAGGCACCAAATTAGAAACTGGGAGACAGTGAGTTCCAGTTCCTTAGGCACAAAGTTGGCTGGGTGACCTTGGGCCAGTGACACCCTCTCAAGCAGGCAAGGGCAAACCACTTCCAAAATCTTTCCAAGAAAACTGCAGGGACTAGTCCAGGAAGTTGCCAGGAGTCAACAATGATTCAAACACACACACATGCACACACACACACCTCTTGTTTCAAAAAGGGTGATCCTTCATAATTGGTCAATAGCGATACTCTAATTTTCCAAAACAATCTAGAATAAAAAGGCAACATATTTGATATGTAAGGAAATAAACCTCTAAGCCACATTTCATTTACAGGCAATTTTTATTTCATCCTAAAGTCATTTAACTCCACACACATACATACTCACACATACAAACACCCAAATCCACATGCACACTCACACACAATCACCTATTGTTCCATACAGTGGGACATTGGCCAGTGGGATTCTGCATTGAATGTAGAGAATTTTAGCCTGGTGGGAGCCCTAGTTAAAACACATTTTATTTCTGGGCTTATGCAGGAGAGAAATGGCCTTTCTTAAGTGAAAGACTGCAAAAAAGATAGAAAGAAACATTTTGCAGTCCATTCCTGAAGGAGTAGAGGCTATTTTTTGCCTATTGCAATCACTTCACATCAGTACCTTTTATAACACTAGATTGGAATGCCTGCAAGACCTTCAGCAATTTTAAAATAAAAAGGAAGCACCACACCACCGATGCTAACCCTAATGAAGCTTACACGGCAATCTGAGATTATTATTTTCTTGCTTTTATTTTAGATGCAGCTTTTCCACAGTTTCAAATATTGTTCAGTGACCCTTCTAATCCTCTCAGAAAGTTCAGTTTACTCTGGCAAAAGTACAAGCCTAAATCCCTGACGATTCAAGAGCGAAAGAATGGTCCTAAAGTAAACCTGTGCAAGGAATGCTGACAGTGAAGCAAAGTACTGTACTTATACAGAAGCTGGATATTTCTTTGCTTGATTCTAACAGTATCTTGCAGTATCCATTCTGAAAAAAACAAAGCAGGTCTCTACTGAAAACTTTAACTTTAAAGGAAGGAGGAGCTGCAAGATTGTCACCTTAGCATGTTTACTTTGGGATGCTACTCTTTTGCTTAGGGCAAGCATAACTTCAGTTGGACATAGCATGATCAGAATCCATCATTCCTTTAGTCATTTCCTTTTTTTTTAATTTATTTCAGAAATTGTGATGGAGTCAGTAGACTGCTGGGTAGCCAAAAGAGGTACCGGGGAGGTTGCCTCTATGAGAGCTGGGTTCAGAATTATAGGCAGAGACAAAGGTGGCACTCCCACTTGTAAGGGGGAGGCTAGTGGTTGAAGAATAAGAGGCTGCTGTGCCACTGCTGGAATATCTGTAGCTAGGTTCATCTTCCCAGGTGTTGCTGGAGAGGCAAAATGTGATCCAAAGTGAATGCAGGCATTCTCAGAATCTGCAGGGAAAAAATAACAGACTTCTCATTTTTATATGAGGGACATTAGTCTCTATCACTTTCCCCAAATTTCACCCAATTCATTCTGAGCTCTTCTAAGTCCTTAGAATTTGAGTGTTCATGTCTGCAATGGACACTCTTGTATAATCTCCATTTAAAATCTGTAGACATTATAGGAGAGGGGTGGTACTCTACGGTAGCAAAAATCAGAAGTCTGGTGGCTCCTTTTCTCACTAATGAATTTTATTAAGAAGCACAAGCAGCTCACCATCAGAGTGACTGTTTAAGGATTAAAACCAGGGTGAGTAGGGGGAATATAGGGATGGTAATCAAATTGTTAAAGTCCTTAAAACCTGTTGACCTCATCTTCATAACCTCCTTGCCTTTGCCATTCCATTCCAGTATAAATTTAAATCCCATCAGTCTAGCCATTTAAATCCCATCAGTCTAGCCATTTTTTGCATCTGTGCGTCTATGTTACTTTAACTATATGATTCTCACTGGCCCAACAAATAGGTTTTAATATATCCATTCTTAAATGTTATTCCTAGACATAACTCTCTTATCCATTTCACACCCCACTTCAAAACCATTTTATTTGCATTCTTAAATTTAACTCAACTTTGCCTTCCAGGGAAAGGCTACCTCTCTGATGGACTTTCCACCATCAGGTAAAAGGGGATCTATTCTACTGGGCTGGATTTTAAAGGTTTAACTGATTGTTTTTCATGCACTGAATTTTAGCTCTGAATTTTGCACATTTCCCTGTTATTAGATTATGTGATTATGAGCAATCAGAGACAAATTTATTTTTAATTAGTTTTTTTCCTTCTTTTTCTATTCTGTTCTTTTTCTATTCATAGTTCATCTTGTAGAAAATATAATCCTACCACTGGCTGCTAGTTCTGGAGACTTCTCAGATGATGCTGAAAGAGTAGATGGTCTGGAATCTTCTCCAGAGGAATGTGTCTGAGCAGATATTGATGCTTTTGGTGGATGTACTTCTACTGGTAAGGTAGAAACTGGGTCTAAATAAAAGCAGCAAGGAGAAGTATTATAAAAGTCTCTCAAATAAAGCTGCATTCAGACTATGGCCCCTTATGTATCTGCACAACAAACCATTAAACACATGCAAAATGCCCTAATACACATATTTTATTAAAACTTGTTTGAAGCTAGAGCTTGGATTTCTGTGATCAAACAAGTTTTATATAATTATTAAATTATATTATTAATAACTAAATATAATTATTTAATTATTTAATAATATAAGCTATTAAACTACAGGTGATCCTCATTTAATGACCATTCATTCAGGGACCATTCAAAGTTAGGGTGCTAATCAAGTGGTATCTAAATTGATCTTCAAAGTTCTAGCTGTCCTCACATCCCCAACGTCATATGATCACAATCTGAATGCTTGACAACTGTTCACACTTACAACAATTGCAGTTTCTTGCAGTCACATGATTGCCATTTCCCTGCTGACTTCCCAGAAGCAAACTCTGTGGGGAAGCTGGAGGGAAGGTTGTAAGTTATTTCAGTAAGTCACTTATACCCTCCTGGTACGTAATGAGACTTTTCGGCTCGAATTCTTGGTGCTGCCTGTTTTTCCACCAGGGTTTTGCCTCCACATTATTACACCTCGGCACTTTGGGCCACGGCCCCTTCGTCCTTTGCCGTGGCTCATTGGTCGCAGTACAGTTAGCATTGGGCTTTTGGGTGCAGACGACAGTTCGAAGCCAGCTAATCGGTGCAGGGGCTCGGGAGCTTTGGGGGTAGAGGGGGGGCTGCAGTTCAGAGGGAGGCTCTGTCAGTTCGGAGCCTCCTGAGGCAGCCGAGAGCAGCGCGGGGGAGGGATCCAGCCACAAAAGATGGGGGGAAGGGGGCTGTAGAGGTTCCCAGGGTTTCTCTCTGTGGAGGAGGGGGCTGGGAGGCGGCAAAGGTATTTCTACCACGACTGGGGCTGCCCTAGTTAGAACTGACAGCCCTCGCCTGTCAGTTTGGAGCCTCCCGAGGCAGCCAAGAGCAGCGCTGGAGGACAAGGGATCCATCAGGTGGAGCTTTTGCAACGAGCTGGGGGGAATGGCTGGCCTGATCTTTTGCTTTCCTTCTCCTGGTTTCTGAAGACCCACCTGTCCCAAGAGCCCTGCTCTCTAATTCCAATCCCTTATCCTTTTCTCTTTCTCTGCTCACGTTCCTTTCAAGCTCGAGCCGAAAAGTCCTAGACCCCTCCTGGTAGCAGCAATCCCTGTATTAGTCCTGCCTCATACTTGTACCTTTAAGTAAGAACGATCCTTGACTCCATTTGTTGACAAAGTTATAGCTTACTAATGATCAAATGGATTATAATAAAGCAAAGCCAGAACTGAGGTTTGTGCGCCAAATCCTTAAGTATAACTTCCCTGTCCAAACACTTCCTACTGTTGCCCCAGGGGGTGGGATCTACTTACCTTTACTACTCGTTCGCAATGGGATCGCACGTGCACGTGAACGAAGCTCACACAGGCGCATGCGCAGATCACATCCAGGGTGATGGGTGGAGCCTCCTGCCGGTTTTACTACCAGTTCTTGTGAACCGGTCCAAACCGGGGGCAAACCACCACTGCCCCCCCCCCGATCATCCAATCAGTTTTAAAAGATTTGTTTTTGAAATAGTCACTCTTGCAGTTGCATTCCTCTCCCATGAAAATGACCTTGAGGACTCTTCATTGAGAAGGATGCTTCTTTCCATCAGTTTCACTTTCCCCCAAGCATTTACGTTCACCCTCTCTTCCACCCTGTCCCCAGGATTCATGGCAGACTGGCACTGAATGACAGCAAAGTGTGAGTGGCAGTTCTGACAACCTGGCTCTGCCGCACTCACATTGCACCCCGTGGGCCACTCAGATACCCTCCCCTGCCCAGAGTACCAACCACACAGTGCTCATGCAGCACTTTGCCTGGGACTCGCAGGCAAAGTGATCTTCACTTAATGACATCAACCAAGAGTGCCAAGTTTGCCATCAGTAAATGATGTAGTCACATGACACCATGCTTTATGACAGCATTGCTTAGAGATAGAAATTTTGGTCTGAATGAGTAGATGGTCTGGAATCCACTCCAGAGTCTGAGCAGATATTGATGGTTTTGGAGGATGTACTTCTACTGGTAAGGTAGAAACTGGGTCTAAATAAAAGCAGCAAGGAGCAGTAAATGTCCCTCAAATAAAAAACAACAAACCATTGTTAACTAAGCACTGCCTATATATAGTGTGTTCAATATGTTTTATAGGAATAAATTTTAGCTGATGAAATATGGCTTTTTAAATATAAGGTTATTTACATTTGATAATTTACTATGTCTTAGATACAATTAAGAGAATTTTATGAATTTTTTTTTAGTAAGTGTCAGGCATAAGAAATCAGGAACCTGATTGTTCAACTGAATACAAATTTATTCCATGTTACCTCTAAACAAAAATCTGAACTACTAATAGTTGAGGCAAATTGAGTCAATGGAATTCAAGAAGTGCTGAACTTAAATATTTTGTGGGTGTGGACTGCAAATTGATGATGTGCTTCCTCTGGCTCAGCCTGGTCATCTCCTACAGCAAGTATTTAATTAGTATTTTAAGATAATTTATAGATTTGGGTTATTTGTTTAAATTTGGATTGTGATTCTACTGTTACGATCTTTGCACTAAAAGAACTTTCTTTTAGAGGTCATTTTTATTATAAATTTGTTTGATGTATAACTTTTTGGTCATTTTTGTTTTGTCATTCCCTTTCCCTTTTAGGTTAGTATTTTAATGTTTGATGTTGAAATTTGATAAGAGATGAAATATAAAAACAAATTAAATTTGGGAAGTTGATAAAAAGGAAATTGTTATTCCCAGCCTTGGATTGTGGCTTTCCAAAACTCAAATAGTAGCCTCTTTCTAAAGGATCTTGGTCTAGAAAGGACCATGTAACTCTGAAGCTCAAGGGCTCTATATGGGCTTCTGAATATACCTTGGATGACTGTCTGTTTGAAGAGCTCATCTCGTAGTTTTGGCAAAAAGCAGTCTATGCGCTCCCAGGTGATTTCCCATAGATCTGAGTAGCCTGTTCGTGAATCAGCATTATGGAATATCCCAGCTGTGTCCATTACTAGCAACATATTCTTCAGTGATTCAGGGATGGCCTCTGGCTGGAAGGCAAAACATATTTATCAACGGGTCTGCAAAATCGCCACTGAATTTTGATGGCAAGAAGCAAGTGTTATTACTTGGAATTGAATTTTAGAACAAGAGAAAACTTGGCATGTTTCTACAGCTAACCCTACAACTTTGCTTGAGTTGTCAGGAAATGGGAGAGACCTGACAATACTAATTACCTCATTTACATCCAAAGTTAGACTGTTTTAACAATTTGTCATTATGCTTTCTTATGATAATGAGAATAAATTTTAATTGTGTCTGCTGTCCTGAATTTTTGATATGCCAATCATGGTTTGGCTCTAAGACTATCTGCTCCTGCCAGCAGTATCCATTACCCTCACATGCCTGCCATGTTTGAAATCTTAATACAATGTTAAAATCCTCTTTTTATTCTCTTTTACCCTAGATATAGCATCATTGCTGTTTTAGACCAAGCTGCTTCTTTACCACGATTGCTGGGATGACACATGGAACAAAATATTTTTGATTCCTGAGATTAGGAATCAGGAATCAGTGAATGAAAAGCCATAATAGAGATTTCTACCCTTTCTTTGGTCATTTTTAGATTCTGTTTCCACTGGATGGAACAGGAGGAAAGTGGAATGATCATCTATCCTGCTTGTTAAAACACTGAAAGCACTTCAGACCACACTCTACATTTCTCCTCTCTTTATTTTTTCTAAGCAGAGTGCATTATTGCAATGGATACTGCTATCATATCTGCTTATGAAGAGGTAAGATTTTTGTTACCTAGCTGAGAATAATAGAATGTACTGTAATGTGTAATTCAGGATGGGGAAAGGAAAGAAGTGGGACAAAATGAATTAAATAATTTGTTAATTAAAAGTACTACATTTATTATCAATCCAGATTCCATAATTTTTATGAATGGGTTCTCAGATACTTAGTCTGGCACTTAGTGGCACTTAGTCTGATTAAGGCTGCGTTACCTTGATTACATGTTTTCTCTTCCCAACATGCTATTGAGAAATTGGAGAAGTAAAAAAATTGAACCTTGCAAAGAGCACTACTAATAATTAAGAAAGCCTCCACTTACTTACCAACAAGTCACTGGAGCCAGCATGCATGTATTTATCCATAAAATCCAATATTGTCAGCCATAAAGCAGCAAATGTTGGGAGAGAGAGGAGTGGGGACAAATGTTGCAAGAAGACCTAAACAGAAAATACAGTGAGAATTTAGTTTAGGATTCAGCAAGTCTTGTCCACTGTGACTTTCATGTGATGTTAAAAAATATTTTTTTACCAATATCAGTGACCAAGTTGCACACAGTTCTTTATTCTTAATAAAAAGTGAAAACAAACTGAGTGAAATGACTAGTGACAATTATGTGGCACAAAATTTTCAGGGTAAAGGTATGTGGAATCGGAGTTTTATTGTGTTGGGGGTGTTACTTGGAACCCTGACATAAAGACTTCCCCAAATCTTTCATTTTAAATTCTGGAGTAACATTTTATTTCACATAAAACATATCTAGTCCTTTAAAGCTGAAAAAAGTTCCCCCGTGAATTTATAGATAGAATAGAAATAATTAAATATGTATATTTAAATAACAAGTTTGTAGCTGAATACTGAATCTTTTTAAAAAACTTGTATCGCCTCCCAAAGGAAGCTGTGAAGCAGTTTTCCAGTCCCATAAGTGCGCTGATAAAAGTAAACAAATTTGCTTTGGTAAGAACACTTAAGTGACAGAACCTGGCCAACGCCAGTCTCCATCAGAATGGGGCTAAATTCTGGAAACTGCATCCAATTTTCATTTTCTTCTCCTTAATCATTAGAACTATTACAATTCAGTCAGAAACCACCTTCTATAAATAGCCTTATACCTTGGAGAGTAGAGTTGAAGCTCTCATTCTGGTCTCTTCCATCCCTCCAATATCTGCCGGGCTAATATTTTCCAGAAGTTTGGTCAACAAAGGAAATAGAACCTATTGATCCAAGGTATGGAATTTGCTAATAGTTAAGAAAGATAATTCTAATATTGTATACAGGCTGCAAGCAAATCAAGAGTTAAGTACTGGTAGATTGGCGGAGGAAGCAGATTGACTCATCAATAGATAAATGTTATTAATAAAATAAATTTCCCACAGGCCAAAAATAGGCTCTGGTGTTCTATTAGTTTCTACTTCAGACTTGTTTATTTGTCTGTTCTGCTTTCCTTTACTACAAAGTGTTTCTAAGCTGCTCCGGGAGCTTTTTTGTCTACAAACTTTAAGTAGTGTTCACTACTTCCTCATGTAATACAAAAATCTTTCATAGCCAAAAGAGTCTATAACTCAACACAGCGAGCTCTCTACAAACAACTCGCCACAGGACAAGAGTTACACCAATATGGAAGAAATAGTCAAATAGAATCATTAAAGAAAGATGCCAAAGATGCCAAATAAAATGTGAATGACAAAAATTAAAATTATTTTTAAAAATTATTTTAATTAATTAAATTGAATTGTTGAAGCATCCTGCAGAGAGTTGTCCCGTGGTGAGTTGGCCATTTAAAACTGGTGCAGCATCCCATAGTCATGTGGTCAAAATTTGGGTGCCTGGCAACTGGCATGTATTTATGGCAGTTGCAAGTGTCCCAGTGTGTTGTGATCACCCTTTGCCATCTTCTGACAAGTAAAATCAATGGAGAAGCCATATTCATCTAACAATCGTATTGCTAACTTAACAACTGCAGTGATTCAACTTAACTTCAACTTAACAACTATGGCAAGAAAGGTTGCAAATGGTACAAAACTCACTTAATAACTGGAAATTTTGGGCACAATTGTGGTCATAAGTTAAGTACTATAGATAAGGTAGCTATTCACCTTGATTTATAAAAATAATAAAAGGCAGGTTTACTTACATCCTACCTTTATTATTTTTATAAATCAATGAATAAAAATTTGAGTTTAAAGTTGCTGAAATGTTAAGATGAAGTTTCATCCAAATCCCATACTTACAATATGCAATACTGTTTGATACTAGTAAATAGGAAATTTCCAATTGGCATGGTTCCTTGAAATGGAATTAAGCAATTAAGATCATCCTTATGATCTGAATAATTGAACAATAACTGAGTTATTATTCAATTATTTACCTGAAGTATTTCTTTCCAAATATTCCACAGTATCTTATGCCTAAAGTAGTAAGTTATCCTTAATACTGTGTTTCCCCCAAAATAAGACCCTGTCTTATATTTTTTTGAACCCTGAAATAAGTGTTTGGCCTTATTTTGGGGGAGTCTTATTATTTTGGGGCGCATGGAGCAAGACAGGGCTCCTCTTGCTGTCTTAACTGATTTCGAGCTATGTCTCCCTAACCCTAACCAGATAAAATGACGGGGACCGGCTGCGCATGTGTTTAAATAGGGCTTATTTTTTTGGGGGGGGCTTATTTTTAGCACATGCGCTGAAAAGCTCAATTGGGGAGTACAAACAGCATGTAACTGCATAAATGCCACATACAGTATATCACAGAAGTGAGTACAGCCCCTCACATTTTGTAAATATTTAAGTATATCTTTTCATGTGACAACACTGAAGAAATGACACTTGGCTACAGCTTGTATAACAGTGTAAATGTGCTGTCCCCTCAAAATAAGCCATTAATGTCTAAACTGTTGGCAACAAAAGTGAGTACAACCCTAAGTGATAATGTCCAAATGGGGCCCAAAGTATGAGAGAGTGAGAGCGATAATTTAAAACACCTGTTCCCCCTTCACGCCTGAGACCTTGTACCACTAACAAGTCACATGACACCAGGCTACTTGGGCCCATTTGGACATTATCACTTAGGGGTGTACTCACTTTTGTTGCCAGCAGTTTGGACATTAATGGCTAAACTGAGTTGTGTTATTTTGAGGGGACAGCACTTTTACACTGCTATACAAGCTGTATACTACTTTACATTGTAGCCAAATGTCATTTCTTCAGTGTTGTCACATGAAAAGATATACTTAAATATTTAAAAAATGTGAGGGGGTGTACTTACTTCTGTATATAGCTATCTCTCTCAAACATAGCCCGATCATTAAAAAAATTCTAATTTTTGGTTTTTTTTAACTTAATTGTTGTCTTTCACCTAAATTTCCGAGACCCTGTGATAAGAGTGAATCTAATCCTTATTATCTTTGAAAAGCTGTCATTCCTTGTAATGGACATACATTACCTTATTGAAGCAGGATTCCCATTCCAAAGCATCGAGAGCTTGTAAATCATGCACAAGAAGAGCCCGCTGCAAGTAGGTCAGTGCCTGCATCCGTACTTGTCTTCTTGCATCACAACACAAACAAGCAATGCCTGTATAGAAGACAAAATGATGTGAAAAGAACTATTTATTTACTCTTGGTTAATAACCTTATATCCAACATATATAATTTTCACCTCTTCCTAAGTAACATGAAAATCCTGTGGCATACTTAAAGTAACAAAGAGCAAGACAAAATACAGAGTTCTAGTGTTCTACACTAGATCTGATCAATGACTTTCATAGAAAATTGAGTTTATAAATGATCTGAAGTTAGCAGTTGAATAGTCAGGGGAGGGAACAAGCTTATTATTGACCATGAAATTATTCAGGATATTGAAACAAGAACAGGATTCTAAAGAATTCTCCCAGGCCACCTGGGAGAATAAACAAGGTTTCAGAGGAAACGGGAATTCCCTGAGGTAGTGTTGAACTCCACAGTTCAACTCCACAGTTTGCCAGTTGGAATGAAAGGGCAATGTAGGCCGGGTCTATGGCAATAGGGGTCTAAGATTTTTCGGCTGGAAAGCTTCTCCTTGCCTGTTTTGCCTTGAGGTTTTCGCCTCTGGGTTATTAGCCACTCCTCGGCTGGTCCTCCCCCAGTCTTTCGCCCCAGCACAATGGCCACGGCCACTCCCTTCCAGGCGCTTCATCCTAGGTTTTTTGACACCTGGGACAGTTAGGGCCCAACAAATCAGCTAGAGGGGGAAGGAAGGAAGGAACAGCCTTGGTGAAATGGGAGGGAGAAGGAGGGAGGGGACTTCCACCTCTGGCTTTTTTTTCGAGAGAAGGAAGAACCCTTTTCAGGCCAGATATCCAAATTGACAATGAATAATTTACGACATTGGATTCCCACCCTAAAAGAAGGGGGGAGATGTTGGCAAACATCACATCAAAGATTTAGAAAGGAAGAAAAGGAAATTGTAAAAACGCTCTGTTCCCACCCCTGCCCGTTCCCCCAGTTCAAAGGGAAGTACTCCTGATGTTTGTTTGTTTTTTTGCAACTGTCCCAGGTGTCGAAAAACCTAGGACAAAACCTCCTTCTGTGTATGGGCTGTGGCGAAGCGCCTGGGAGGGAGTGGCCGTGGTTGTTGTGCCGGGGCGAAAGACTGGGGGAGAGCCAGCCAAGGAGAAATGTTTGTGGCTAATAACCCAGAGGCGAAAACCTCGAGGCGAAACAGGCAAGGAGAAGCATTCAAGCCAAAAAATCCCATTCCGGACAATAGCCCTCAGCTGCCTGTTCCAATTCATCATGCAGGGCAGGGCAGGGCAGGGCAGGGCAGGGCAGGGCAGGGCAGGGCAGGCAGCAGCATTTTTCGAAAGGACTGAGAGGCAGCCAGGTGTGCATTCTGACGGACACTGGTTGCTACCCAGTGTGTGTGTGTGTGTGTGTGTGTGTGTTTGTACAATCTTTTTCCACTATCAGCAAGCTGGTATTTTATTTTTTACTCTCAGCTGAGATACTATTTCAGCTGAATTTTTTTGTTTTTTCAAATTTTATTCATCTGTCATTTTTTAAATACATCTGTGGATTACAAACTACATCAAGGGGACAACGTCGACATTAGCCACAGGAAGGACCAAAAGGAGAACTAAGAACTTCTAGAACTAAGGTGAAATTTCCTGACTGCATAAACAATTAACCAAATGGAATGGCTTGACTTTAGAAGTTATGGTTGCTCTATCACTGGAGGTTTTTGAGAGGAGATTGGACAGCCATTTGTCCAAAATAGTATAGGTCCCTTCAACTCTGTTACTCTTGTTATTCTAGAATACTAATGTTTAAGAATAGAAATTTCAGTTTAACATTTTTGTTTTAAAAATCTTCTAAATGTTGGGGAATTTTGAAAATAAACTTCTAGAATTTTTAAAATTTTTGGAAAAAAATCCTTTTAATGAAATGGCTGAGAGGCAGCCCAGCTGAGAGACAGAGAGGCGGCCCACTTCTGGCAGCTGAGTGGAGACAGTGCGGTGCAAATGGAGGCCAGCTGAGCAGCAATGAAATAGAGCTAGGAGGCAGTAGATCAGAAGCTGTGAGCAGCATCGCAGACCAGCTGAGCAGTGGTGGTGCAGAGTTAATTGGCAGAGGTGCAGAGTGTCCAGAGCAGCAACTGAGAGCAGCGCAGCAGACCAGCTGAGCAGTTATAGTGGACCAGAGTTCCAGAGCAGCAGCTGAGAGCAATGCAGCAGACCAGCTGTGCAGCAGTTAAGTGGAGCAGAGTGCCAAGATGGCGGCAACGGAGGAAGCATTGTTACATTGCAGGGATAAAAGTTTCTATTAAACTAAGATAAAATGGTAGGAGGAGAGGTGGAGAGGGAAAGATAAGTCTTAGAAAAAGAAAAGACTGGAGAAAGTAAAAGGAGAGGAAAGATTGGAGAAATTAGGAGGAAACCACAGCAAACTTTTCCTGCTGAGAGAAGCCCAGCTGTACCCAAGAGGCCTACCGAAGAGACCCATTGAAGTGAGGTGAGTGGAGAGGCAAAATGAACTAGTGGAGAACAAAGAGGCGAGTTGGTGAGTGAGTGGGGCCAGCTGCGGAGCAGAGAGGAGAATCAGCTGTGGGGTGGACAGACTGAGGGCAGCGCAATGACCAGCAGAGAACAAAGAGGCAAGCCAGTGGAGCAGAGAAGAGAAGAGCTGGCTGTGGAGAGGAGAAGTGAGCTGGACCATTTAGGCGAGGGGTGTCAAACTCACGAAGTCACAGTGTCATCACTTGATGTATCGCAACTTTTTTCCCGTTCACTAAACGGGCCCGGCAGTGACCAGCATGTGATGCATCCGGCCTGCAGGCCGTGAGTTTTGACACCCCTGATCTAGGCAGTCCTAGATTGTTGGTGGAAGCAGCACACCAACTTGACGGACCAGCAAACGGGAGCCATGTGGCTGTGGCGCAAAGAGCAGCGGCAGCGCAGCAGAGAGAAAAGCCAGCAGCAAGGGGCAGCACAGCAAACTAGAGCCTGAGAGCAGTGCAGAGAGCAGTGTGGAAACCGACGGTAGAGCAATGGTGGAATTGGAGGCTATGGTTGGGGGTGGACCATAGTGGACTCATGACTGCTAACAGCAACAGAACAGCATGGCACACCAACAGATGAGGCAGGGGCAGTGGTGGGATTCTGCCGGTTCTAGGGGGTTTGGCCGAACTGTTTGTTAAATTGCTGGCTCGCCCCGCCCCTTGCCCCTCCCCTCCGCACCACTATTTATTGCCAATAAATAGTGGTGGGCGAGGGGCGGGCGAGCCAGCAATTTAACAAACGGTTTGGTGTTTTTTCGTAATTTTATTGGCCCGCAGACCTTCAGCATAGGCTAATTAGCCCTTGATTAGATCAGCTCCCGACTCTCATCTGATTTGCTGTCAGCTGTTTTGCTCAGGGCTCTGCTGCTTGCTGGAGTAGATTTTTTTCCCCCTAGCTATGCTGAAAAACGAAACTGAAAGTAAAGCAGGCTGTTGGCTTTGCTGTTGCTGCAACGTTGGAAAATTAGGCAGGCAGATTTCTTTTCTTTTTCCTCACCAAAAAAGGTAGGTGTAAACAATGGGAAATTTAGGGAAAAAGAGGAGAGTTCAAGATTTTAAAACACAAAAGAAAAAAAGCTCTATTTAACTAGGGAATTGTAATAATTGAGATACTATTAATTGTATATTGTGTTGAAAGCAGAAATGGTTAAGTTGTGGTTTGGAGGAATATATGGGGGAAATTATTTGGTTTATTATTATTGGTAAATATAATTAATTGATTTGTAAGAAATTGGATTGCATGGAAATAATTGGAATATTCATGTTCATATTGATTAATATACAAAAAATGTAGTTATATAACTAATTGATTTATATTAAAATGTTGAATTTATATTAAACAACTGTAATATTACATAATTAACCAATGTGAGGATGGATATAAAAATAGATGACAATAGGAAGGGGTATAATATAGAATAGAAGGGAAAAATTGAATTTGATTAAGATTAGAGACGAGGATGAAGGGTAATATTGGTTTTTTACAAAAATAGATGAGGAATAAATATGGCAAAAAGGAAATATAGAAATTGTAAATTTAATTGAAATGACTAAACACTGTTTAAATTTGTGAACCGGCCAAATATTCTGTTCAAAGAAAATGGGGAGAAACAGGCTCTGACTCAACCCCTCCAAGACCGAGTGGCTGTGGCTTCCAGCGTCCCGATATAGCCAGCTGACGCCATCGCTGGCTATTGGGGGCGAATCACTCGCCCCCACGGAGAGGGCTCGCAACTTGGGCGTCCTCCTGGACGCACGGCTGTCTCTAGAAGACCATTTGACGGCCGTGGCCAGGGGGGCTTTTTATCAGGTTCGCCTGATACGCCAGTTGCGCCCCTTTCTAGATCGGGACTCTCTACGCACAGTCACTCAGGCACTAGTCACTTCCCGCCTGGACTACTGCAACGCTCTCTACATGGGGCTCCCCCTGGGGTGCACCCGGAGGCTCCAGCTGGTCCAGAACGCGGCCGCGCGGGGGATTATGGGGGCGACGAGGCGCTCCCATGTGACACCTCTCCTGCGTGAGCTGCACTGGCTCCCGGTGGTCTTCCGGGTGTGCTTCAAGGTGTTGGTGACCACCTTTAAAGCGCTCCATGGCTTAGGGCTGGGGTACTTACGAGACCGCCTACTGCCACCAATAGCCACCACCGGCCAGTACGCTCGCACAGAGTGGGCCTCCTCAGGGTGCCGTCCGCCAGACAATGTCGGCTGGCGACCCACAGGGGGAGAGCCTTCTCTGTGACGGCGCCCACCCTCTGGAATAACCTTCCCCCAGAGTTACGTATAATAACAGACCTCCGGATTTTTCGTCGGGCCCTGAAAACTTATTTATTTCAACTAGCTGGGCTGGCTTGAGCTAAATTTTAAATTGATTTTAAATTGGGTTGTTTTAATTTACGGCCAGAATATTTAATTATTTTAATACTGTTTTTTAAATTTTGTATGCTTTGTTTTTACTTAGGCTGTGCACTGCCCTGAGTCCTATTTGGAGAAGGGCGGTATAGAAATTTAAACAAATAAATAAATAAATAAATAAAATACATGGTATGTTTGTATGTGTGTTTCTAATTATTGTTATTTATTCATATTTGTTCTCTTTTATTCTTTAAAGTTTAATAATTCATTCTTTATCTTAATATCTTTATATTTGTTTGGGGTTGGCTTTCTTCCCTTTCATCTTTTTTATTGTACAGCAATCTTTCTCCTCAAACTTACCACCTCTCTCTTTTCTTTCCTTCTTACTTTCTCTTCCTCCCCCTCTTCTTCTCCTCTCTACTTCCTCTTCCTTTCTCCTTCTCCTCCTCTCTTCCTCCCTCTCTTACCCTCACTACTACTCTAATTTCCCTTCCCTTCCTTCATCCCTCTCTATTGCTGTATCCTTTTATGCGTATGGACTACTCAGAGGGCTGAAAAAGTTATTTCTGACTGGTCCTCGCACTTTTGACCAGTCCTCGAAGTTACGACTGTCCTCACATTTTACGTTTTTGCCCTATCTTGTCACCATGATGAAGAGAAGCAGTTGTGAAATGAGTGACATGGTTGTTAAGGATGCCGCAACGGGCATAAATGTGAGGATGGTCATAAGTGCGAGGACCGGTCAAAAGTGCGAGGCCCAGTCAGAAATGACTTTTTTCATCCCTCTGTAGTCCCTATGCAGATAGCCACGCTCACCGGTCACATGACCAGCTAGCCACACCCACCCAGTCACATGACCACCAAGCCACACCCCCAACTAAGCCACGCCCACAGAACCGGTTGTTAAAAATATTGAATCCCACCAATGTTGCGGGGGCAACATGAACTGAGAAAAGCAGGGAGAGCTGAATATCCAGTAGCGGCAGGAGAAAAGCAAGTAGGAAGAGAGGATTAAAAAGGCAACAATTACAGAACACAAGGCAAAAAAAACCCCAAAGCCAAGTAGACAATAGCAAGTATGGAACATATAAAGATAGAGAAGAAAGGGATAAATAAAGCTCACAAGAAGGCAGGGAGAGAAAGAATCATAGAAGGCAGGGAGGAAAGAGATAATTATAGAGCATTCCATTACAGGATGGGAATGAATCTTGCACTTAAGCCCCAGTCAACACTGAAAATTTTTAAATTTGACATTTTAAATGATCTGCTAGAACTTTAAAATTTTAAACTAGACATTTTTGAACTGCTAGAACTTTAAATTTTTAGTTAGATTATGGTCTGCATAGTTAACTACCTCCATGATGGGCTTTTGGCAAGGGATGGGGCTGTACCTCGCAAAGACTGGGGAGAATGTTTTCAGAAAACGACTAGCTAACTTATCAGGAAGGCTTTAAACTAAAACCGAGGGGGGAGGGTGACCTGGACCTAATTTCAATTAAAAAACCCTAGAAAACAAGTCAAATAATGAGGTAACACCAAACAGGAGACATAGGAAGCTCTTGTGGCCCATCAGCAGCCTGTGCAGCTAGTAGCTGATTCCGACAGCAAGGAGGCTGGTGTGGTGCTGCACCAGTAGCCTGTGCAGCTGGCACGCAAATCAGACAATGCGGAGGCTGGAGAAGATGTGGTGCCAGAGGCGGGGATTCAGCCAGGGCCTTCAGAACCTCCAGAAGCTCCCATAAGTGAAGAGGAAGAAGAGGAGGAGTCTTTTCTCGATGCACGGGCGCGCAGAGCTGCCAAAAGGCAGGAGTGACTCCTCAGGAGGAGGTCTCCTTGGAAGTAAGGCTTGGGGCTGATTGATTGATTGATTGATTGCCGCCCTTCTCCGGAGACTCAGGGCGGCGTACAATACATTAAGCAATAGCCTTCATACTTTTGTATTAAGGCTTTCGGCCCCCCCTTTGTTTTTTATACAAAATCAGCTTATTGCCCCCACAATCCGGGTCCTCATTTTACCTGCCTCGGAAGGATGGAAGGCTGAGTCAACCTTGAGCCTGGTGAGATTTGAACTCGCAGTAATTGCAGGCAGCTGGCAGCTAAGTGCTACTTAACAACACTTTAGTCTGCGGCACCACCAAGGCTTCTTGTTCAAGTTCCCCAAATGCACAAAGTTAGGGGAACAAACAGAGTGAACTCGAATTATTAATACATGATATAGCTGGAATTACAGAAACTTGATAGGATGAAACTCATGACTGGAACATACTGATAGAAGGACACAAACTATTAAAAAAAAAACCAGATCCCATAAAAGAGGAGATGGAGTTGCACTGTATGTAAAGGACATATTGCTACAGAAATGCACGAAACCAAGACAAAAACCTCCTAGAATGCATTCTGCTTGGTTGGGTGGCCTGTAGTATACACCTATACACTTATGGCAATATCATTCTTCTTTTTCTATTATATTGATGAACCAAGCAGAAAAAATAAATGTACTTTTTGCTGAACAATTAACAATTGTTAATTGTTTAGCAATTGTTAACAACACTACAATTATTGTAATGTAGGAAACACTACAATACTAAAGGGGGACTTCAATTACCCTGACATCAACTGGAACACTAATTCTGCACCAAGTGAGAAATCAAATAGGTTCCTAACCCCTCAGTTGCATTGCAGAAAGAGTGGTCTCCCAACTATGAAACACATGGCTGGTGGTGAGGAAAGCTCGGGAGGAGGCTCATGAGCAAGCTGTCAAGAAGCTGTCAAGAACCCAAGCTGTTTAAGACTGGCAACCATGTCTACCTTTCCACCCGCTTCTTGCAATCTTTACAACCTTCAAAGATTAAATGCATCATTAACTCAGTAACTGTAGAATTAGATTTGGCCATGTCCCTTCAATGGGTTCACCCCCATATTCCATTGTAGTTTATTGAAGCCTGAGATAACTTCTCCCCTTAGAGAAGTTCTCCCCTTCCACAACCCCAGAACCTTTAATGGTAGAAGGGATGCAGCACTTTGAAATCAGGGAAATTCTAGACTCCAGTAGAATTCCCTTCTGTATCTGGTGGCATGGAAAGATTTCCTGACAGCTTAGAGTGAGGTCGACCATCACCAGGTTAGAGCCCCTAAACGTATTAAATGCTTCCATAATCAGTACCCGGACAAACCCAAATGACATTCCTTTCTTCTCTCCCTGTTTGTTTTGTTCTGTTCTCCAGGATTAATGTTGAAGACAGAAAGGAGAGGGAGCGTCTTTGGAGAGCGAACTCTCTCCCAGCTGGTTTCAGCCCATCTCCAAGGCCATCATATCCTGAGGATGAATCTCTTTGCACCTCTCAAATCAACCTTGCAGCATTACGGGGAAACGAAAGAATGTTGTTTGCATTGCACAGGCTTTTTCAGATTTCGCCTTGTACTCCTGGAATCACTTTTCTCTCAGTAAAAGTCCTTTTGATTCAATTTAATAGATTAATAGATTAATTCAATTTAATAAGAGTCTTGCTTTCCTGAGGAACTAGCTGAGGCAGTTTCTTACACTTACTCTAGATAGCTGTGAATAAAGAGCTTCTTCTGAGTAGTCCACACCAGTTTTCAACTTTATTAGGAGTCTTCTGACGAGGGTCCACCGTGAACTGAGGGGGGGGGCATGTTACAGTAAAAGCATCAGCCTTACTTCTTCAGACAACAGTGGCTCTCTTCTGGGGGATGGGGGGAAGTGTTATGGGCAGAAATGCCTCTTTCTGCAATTAAACTACAAGTATTTTGCTTGTAAAGCAGGGCTCACAAAAGTGGGGGTGGCTTGTGATCTGCTGGCTTTATCCTGACCATAAGCCAGGCAGATCTCTGGTAGCTTCAAGGGGACTCAAAAAAGATTGATGGGGAGAGATCACCCTCATATGCTGCCCCCAAAGCCTGCTGCATGCAGAAAGCCTCGGAGCCCCACGGTCTTCCACTAGTACTTGGTGGCTGAGCTCAGGAGGGCAGCCTTAACCCTTCTTTTGACGGGTGGTTGCAGTTTAGCCCATCAATTTTTCTCAATTCCCCCCACCCAGCTTTTTGGAGCCAGGTTTCACCTAATATGTACTTGTACATTTGGTTTTTCAAGCCTAAGTATAAAACCTTAATATTCTCTACATAAATTTCACTTGGTTGGATAGGGCCCTCAGTTCAAGTCTGTCAAGATCCATTTGGATCCTGAGCCTATCATCTGGGATGTTTGCTATTCCTGCCAACTTAGTGTCATGTGCCAATTTGATGACTTCCCCTTCTATTGTAGTATGTACCTATGACAGTGTCATTCTTTCTTCCCACATGACTTCTTTTGACCCACATGAATTCTAGGTGGTTTTCATGCTTGGTTTTGGGGTTTTCTGTAGAGATGTAGTGATCTCTTACATATAATACAACTCTACCTCCTCTTTTGTTAGGTCTGTTTTTTTAAAATAGTTTGTATTCTTCCATTGGTACATTGCAGTCTTTAATTTCATGCCACCAAGTTTCAGTAGTGGCAACTATATGATAACTATTTTCATGTACTAGTACTTCAAGTTCACCTTGTTGTTCCCTAAATGTTGAGTGTAGAGGCCAGGTGTCGGCAACTCACGGCTCTTTTAGCCCTCTGCTGTGTTTCCTGACGGTGAGCCAGTCATTTTCCAGATGCATTCTTCCAGATGCGTTCTTGTGCGATACAGACCATCCCTTGCCAAAAGCCATCCTGTACAGGTAGTTCACTTAGTAACCATTTGAAATTCCAATAGACACCCCTCCAAAGATACTTACAACTCAGTTCTGAAGTTCAGGTGGACACCTCTCACCATGGTCATATTTCAGATACTTGGCAGATTATGGCTGTTGCAGCATCTTGCAATGATTGCAATTTATATTTTTGCCCAAAAACAGGCATTTACTTCTGGTTTTGGCAAAAATGTCCCATAGTGAACAGCAGGTTTTTAATGACCACGGCAGTTGCTTAACAACTGAGGATTCACTTAATGACTGTGGTGGTTTTCTTAATGGCTCCTGGAAAAAAGGCTGTAAAATTGGATTGGTCATGTAATGACCCATTTTATGACCATCATGACTTAAAACTGTAATGGACAGGTTCCATTACAATCATGTCTATAATTTTCTAGGTTGTGTGAGCTTTACCTTGCAACAATGGGCACCAACAATTGATCCATAATGCTCGAGAATTTGCTTCTATTTTCTTCTCTGAAGTTTCCAGATGCTGCTGCTCTTCTGCCCAAGAACTGTAGATGGTAGCAGCTCGTGTATGAAGGGTATGCATTAGATCCAACAGCTGTAAAAGAAATAAAATAAATAAAAAACCTTCACTACAGGTCCTTGACTTAAAACCTTTCGTTTAGTGAGCATTTGAAGTTACAATGCATTGAAAAAAGTGACTTATGATCATTTATCATACTTAGGACTGTTTCATGGTCACATGATCAAAATTCGGGTACTTGGCAACTGGCTCATATTCATGATAGTTACAGTGTACCACAGTCATTTTGCAACCTTCTCACAAGCAAAGTCAATGGGGAAGCCAGATTCACTTAATAACCATTGATACTAACTTAGTAACTAAAGTGATTAATTTAACAACTTTGGCAACAAAGGTTGTAAAATGGGGCAAAGCTCACTTAACTGTTTTGCTTAACAGTTCTTTGGGCTCATTTGTGGTTGTAAGTCAAGGACTATCTGTATATTTAGGATGAAGTTTTCTCTTCCTATTCATTTTATATGAAAATAAAATAGACTCTTACAAAAGGAAAAGTTATGAAGACTCTACAGATGTAGATGAAGACACAATAAAATAAAGATCCAGGGTGCTACTTACTACAGAATGAATGTCAAATACATTTTTAAAACAAAAACAAAAAATGTATTTAAAATATTTCCAGTTTGCATTTTGGGGGAAAGTTCCTCTTCCATAGTTTTTTATTAAGAATACCTTTCTGGGATATTTAATAAATGAACATCTAATATTAGAACCATAATTAAAAAGACACAAAAAGAATGTTCTTCCTGCGTCAAGTCAGAAAGTTCAGACTGTCCCAGGAACTGTTGATACAGTTCTACAGAACAGCCATTCAGTCTGTTATTTGTACTTCTATAATAACTGTCTGGTTTGGTATAGCAACCAAACAGGACAGGTACAGACTTCAATGGATAGAACAGACTACACAAAAAACAACTGCAACCAGTCTGCCTTCCACAGAGGACCTGTATATTTTCTCAGGAGGGCTGAGAAAATATCTACTGACCCTTCACATCCTAGACATAATCTGTTTGAACTCCTCCCCTCAGGACACCGCTATAAGGCATTGCATGCCCAAACACCTAGATACAGTTTTTTCCCTTGCAACATCACTCTGCTGATTACTTAATTCCCACAATACTGTTTTATGTGTAAGTATGGTATGGCTATAGTTATTATCATGGTATCCTCTTATTGATACCATTATTATAATTATAATTACACTGTAGTTTTCAATGTAGTTTGAGAGCTTCTGCATCAAAGATAAATTTTTATGTGTCTAATCACACTTGGCTAAGTACTGTATTGCATTCCATTCCATTTGCAACACATAGAGTACATGTACTAATGAAGATTCCATTAGTAATCAGTTGTGAATAAAGGGCTAAATAAAAAAAGATTAAAGGTAATATTTTTGAAGACATATTCAAGGAGCCTCCCTTGCCATCAAGTTATATACTATATTGAAAGTTTTCTCAGCATATTGGATTGATTTTGGGGGGAAACGTTTTGAGAAAATTAAATCCTAGGAAAACTTAGTGAGCTGAATGAATAATATGATTACTGTAAAAGAAAAATTGCAAAGTGAAGTGCAATTGATATGTAGTATGCATATAAAATTAAAATTAAATTCTGGGCAAAGAAATTGCTAAATTTATTGCTAAAAATCATGAATATTTGTTTGTCACTTTGAGAACCATGGTGTGTATATAATTTTAAGAAACTGAATACTGAATACAAGCTTCATTGTATTATCTACAATATGGTAGATTATGAAATATGAAAGTGAAAGATTGCTAATCTACAATATGGTAGATTAGCAATCTTTCACTTTCACTTTGATAACAAACATCTATTAACCTTCTGTTAGTTCACAATTTGATTGGAAAGAAAAAAGATTTCTCTGTCCTTTTTTAAAAGAATTCCCTTTAAATGGAAAGGGATAGGGCAAAACTGGCAACTTGTTTTGTGAAACCTACGTAAATTTCACATTATGAATTATCTGAGAAAACAAACTACAAAGTTAAACAAAAAACTCTAAAAAAGTTTATAAGCAAAGCATTACTCAGATTAATCTACTTAAATCTTAATCTTAGTTTGAATCTTTTTTTTTTATTGCAAAAGTTTTACAATTACATTTTCACCCCTTTTTCCCCCCACCACCACCCACCCCAAACTTCCCAACCTCCCTAACCCTCCCTAACCCTCCCCTCCCCCCAGACTTCCCTATATTATACTCATATCTGGTAAAGAAAGAGAAAAAAAAAGAGAAAAAAACCCCTTAATATAAAACTTGTGTAAAAACTTGAACCCCTCCCTCCCCTTTATAATTTTTCTTTTTACCCTCGTTCCATTAAAATATTTCTAATACATTATTTTCAAATAAAAGCTATTTGATACTTTCTAGTTTGATATTTGTTCTGAACATATTCTATCCACCTTTTCCATTCCCATTCATAAGTCTCTTGTGAACAATCTTTTAAATATGCTGAAATCTTCGCCATCTCTGCAAAACTGGCCATCTTCAAAGTCCATTCCTCAATAGTGGGCAAAGCTTCATTTTTCCAATATTTACCTATCAACAATCTTGCTGCTGTTATCATATACAATATCAGTTTTGTTTCACCCGATGTAAAACCCTTAACTATACCCAATAAAAACAATTGTGGAGAGAATTGAATTTTTTTCTTCAAAACATTCTGCATGACCCACCAAATTTTTATCCAAAAAGCCTTAACTTTCCTACAGGTCCACCAAACATGATAATACGTAGCATCCAAACATTCACATCTCCAACATTTTGGCTGAACATTAGGGTACATACATGACAACTTTTTGGGATCTAAATGCCATCTATAAAACATTTTATAAAAATTTTCCCTCAGATTCTGCGACTGTGTAAATTTAACATTCTGAACCCAAATTTTTTCCCATGTTTCCAACATCACTGGTTCTTCAAAATTTTGTGCCCACTTAATCATACAATCTTTAACTAATTCAGTTTCTGAATCCCTTTCTAACAAAACATTATAAAGCCTTTTGATATGCATTGGACCTTTCTCTTTTATATGTCTAACCAATTCTTCCTCATGCAACATAATACCAGTTTTTTGGTCCTCTTTCCATCTCAATTGTAATTGATTATATTGTAACCAAGTTAAATTAATCCCTTCGTCCAACAGTGTCTGCAATGTCTTCAGCTGCCATCTGCCTGCATCTGTAAAAAGAACCTCTTTGTATAAACCCCCCCCGAGTGACATTATATTTGTATTCCACAAAATATGACCAAGATCCAGCCATAGCAGTATTTTATAATCCCATTTGAATCGGTGCTTCTTCCAAACTCTCATCAAAGAGTCTCTAAGTATATGACTTTTAAATACTTTATCAACTTTGTCATCATAAAATAAGTAAGCATGCCATCCAAATTCAAGATCAAAACTTTCTGCATTCAATATTCCAGTCTTTTTCCTTCCAAACCAATCACTTGTTAAAGTTAAAGCTGCTGCATCATAATATAACTGTAGGTTTGGAAGTTTAAGACCTCCTCTTTCTGGAACATCTTGCATAATTTTCAATTTCACTCTCGGCTTTTTCTCGTTCCAGACAAACTTATTCACTCCAGTTTGCCAGACTTTCAATTGTTTATCACTTTTGAGCACCGGAATCATTTGAAACAAAAAAAGAAATCTTGGCAAAATGTTCATCTTAACTGCTGCTATTCTTCCAAGTAGAGGCAGCTGCAGTTTTTTCCAAGTCTCCATATCTTTCTGCACCTCTTGCCACAACACCTCATAATTATTTTGAAACAATTTCATGTTTGATTCTGCAACCTGAACTCCTAGATATTTTACCTTAGGTACAATCTCAAAACCTGCCCTCCTTTCAAGCTCATGTTTACGATCTTGTGTCATGTTTTTAGCTATCATTTTAGTCTTTTTTGGATTCAGTCTAAAACCTGAAACTTTACCATAGTCTTGTATAATGTCCTTCATCAGGATTATTGATTCCATTGGTTGTGATAGGGTAACAACCAGATCGTCTGCAAATGCCTTTATTCTGTAATCCTCTTGCCTAATCATTATACCTTTCAAGATATTAGAATCCCGTATTGTATTTAGCAAGACTTCTAGTGTTAAAATAAATAAAAGTGGGGACAACGGACATCCCTGTCTTGTTCCTTTTTCAATTTTGAACTCTGTTGTCAAACTTCCATTAATAATAATCTGTGCCTTTTGCTCTTGGTAAATTGCTGAAATCGCCTGTATAAATTGATCCCCAAAATCCATCTTTTTTAAAGTCTTTAGTAGAAAATTCCAATCCACTCTATCAAAGGCCTTCTCTGCATCCAAAAAGACCAGCACTGCAGGAATCTGTTTATTCTTCTCAAGATATTCCAATAAGTCTATTACTTGCCTTACATTGTCCTTCATGTGTCTGCCCTCGATAAATCCCGCTTGATCATAATGAATCACCTTTTGAATTACTGGCATCAACCTGTTGGCTAATACTTTCGCATAGATTTTATAATCTGTATTCAAAAGAGATATTGGTCTATAGTTCTCTGGTTTTTTAGGACCGATTTGTTCTTTTGGTATCAAAGATATGTAAGCTGTTGTCCATGATGGGGGTATTTTACCCCCTTGTTGAATATCGCAAAATAAATCTCTGAGTTGTTCCACCATTTCAGCTTGCAAAATTTTGTAATACACTACGGTCAAGCCATCCGTGCCAGGAGCTTTGGCTGTTTTTAACTGTTTAATTGCTACTATTATCTCCTCCTCTGTTATAGGATAATTCATTCTTTCCTTTTGTTGATCAGTAGTTTTTGTAACTCTTTTATCATTTAAATATTTTTCTATAAGTCCATTCTGCACCTCCTCTTTAGCATATAATTTAGTATAATAGTCCACAAAAGCTTCTTTAATTAATTTTTGTTGAAAGATTTCTTTCCCTCCAATATCAATACTATCAATAGTCCGTATACTTTGTTTTTTCCTCAATGTGTAAGCCAACCATCTGCCCGGTTTATTAGCGTT